CAAGAACACGAACGACAAGAACACGAACGACAAGAACACGAACGACAAGAACACGAACGACAAGAACGAGAACAACGGGAGAGATTGCCACGACAAGAACGTGAAATGGTTTACATTCATTTCAAAATCCGGGAGAACTTGATATGGAGGAATGTACAGTCCCTGTGGGTAGATCGTAGTGATCCAACAGAGCTGGTACGGGTAGCGAAGAAGAACATGCGCAAAGGGTTGCGACTACTCGATACGAACATGCAACTGTTAGCGCCAGAAGACTGTTTTGAGGCTGTGACGGTGGACGGGACAAATACGATTATCTTACTTCCACAAAGAGATCTAGAAGTCGATGATCAGCTACTTGACTCCGCAAATGTACTTGCATATACTACCATAGTAGATAGTGAGCGGTTCAAGAGACCCAAAAAAGGTTCAAGGGCCTAGTAGTGCTCTGGAGCCAGTACATACATTCTAGGTACAAATATACATCGGGGTGAACATATGTCCTAGAACATTGCTCCTCGGGTACTAGTATCTCCTGGAGTACTTGGTCTAGTACCACGGTATGGTGAGGACGTCCATCTTCCCAGAAATTTGCTCCTAGGAACTATCAGATAGCTAGGAATTTACTCCTGGGTAAAATAGTCTCGACGCATGGAACACATGAGCACGGACCAGATCTTGTATGACGAATGGTCATATGTTGAGCTAAGGGAAACTGTCTGCCTTTCTGACTGTTGTACATGACCTCAAACCCTCGAGCAGAGAAACCCCCCCACGTCTTTGTGCAAAAGCACATCGTCGATCACTCTGATTCATTGATTGGCGCGTACCACATAGATCTTCTACGTGCAAGATGCAATCATGCAGGCGGAGACGTTGACTGTACACCTTGTCATTTTACTTGAGCAACTGATGAGGCCTAGCTGATCCGTTGAATCTGATGGAACACACTCAAATACGAATCTAGGGGCACTGAAACTTTGATGAGCCATCCAGCGTGTTGAGGTGAAGAAGTTCGAGACAGTATAACAGCAGAGGTGAGCACGAAAAGATGGCTATCTCGAGGAAGTAACAATAAGGGGTGTTACAACGCTGAAAATTCATCTCACTACCCTGAAACGGGCAACGAAAGCTCATGCACCTAGTCATGGTCCGAGACCAGCATGAGCCCCACCAGAATGACAGTGGCTGAGAACTACCCCAGACAAATAAGGTGCATGGAAGAACAGGGTTCACGACTGGGTGGTGGCCATCCTACCAGTCGACAAAACCAAGTTCCTTGGAAGGGCAAATGTGGACGAATGTCGACCCATTGGCATCGCAGCTCTATGTGGACGTGAAGCGGCAGTGGCATTCTGGGCGCCACGACAACCCTTAAGTTGGACGAGGGGAATGCCAGCACAGAAACAGACATATAAGCAGTCATCCTCACCCTGCATGTCTTTCTCTCCCCATACCTCACACTCAACATTTTATCTCGATTCTGGTACTGCTGTTCTGGCGTGACCGCTGAAAATCAGGTTCATACACTTTGAATACTAACAAACTGCTTGGAGCGTATCGTCAGACATACTACCATGGCCGAAGAATTCTCCTTTGTGGTCAATGAGACCCAATGCAAGCTAGACATGCTATTCCGTACGATGATGGAAAGACTGGAGAATGCAAGCGAGCACGCCGACGAGCTGGAACGACAACGAGACGAACTCCTGCTATGGCAGTCGCGTGCCCAGGAACGGGAAGGCAATCTAAACTGCACCATCAGCGAGCAAGAAGAACGAGCTAGGGAGCTGGAACAATTGGTGGCACATGAGCAAGTCCGTGCCAAAGAGGGCAAGGATGATCACGCGCGAAAATCCCTGAAGGTTCGCCAAAAGGTCAAGCAACTTGAGGCCAAGATTGAGAGGATGAAACAGATTGTTGCTTCAACAATTCAAGAAGAACAGAACAAAGCCCAGCTTTTGAGAGAGCGGGATGACACAATATCCAAGAGCCAGATCGAAATTCACGAACTTAGGGCGAAACTCCAGGCAGCAGAGACGGAAATTTCGAGCAGAAGCCTACGGGTCGAGGAGTTGAAGCAGGAGTCAGAGCACATCAGAGCAAAACACCGGGATGCAGACATGGTGTCCCAAAAGAGACTTGAAGAGCTGCAGGATCAGTTCCAGGTAGAAAGACACTCGTTCCATTACGAAGCAGGTGAAGAAAAGCGCAAAAGACGGGCTGTGGAACAACAACTTGAGAGATTGAAAAGACGAGCTGAGTCGAAATCTGCCAGATATCAGAGGGAAAGTGCTTTGCTCAAATTCGAGATTTGTGAGTCACAGGACACCGCGACTGAAATGAGACAAGAGCTGCACCAGAAACATTTGCAAATCAATATTTGGTCCGCAGCTATGACCGAAAGGAACGACAAAATCTCAAATCTCTTTGAATCGATAGAGAAATTGAAAGACGAAAGAGTGAGGGCGCAGCAAGAGATGGGCGCAGAGCTTGTTATCGCCCAGGGCGATACAGCTGTCCTCAGAGATCAGCTTAAGACGGCTGTCCACGAGCTCCGGGATGTGAGACAAGAGTTGGCGAACGTCAAGATGGCAGTTGCCACTCTATCGCACAGGGGAGGTGCTCTGGAAGTGATTCGGTCGATTAGCAATCACCTCAGCCAATTTTCACAAAGATCAGTACGGTCCTGTGATCCAAAGCACAGCCAGTACCGCCACGTCACCAACTGTGGTACCTTGTTGTGCTCAGAGTGTCTCCAGCAAGCCCTAGCTGATGGGCACACGGACACGACGCTGACCCTCGGTTCGAAGGATGTCTTTGAACTCAACTGTCCATGGTGTCGGTCGGAATTTTGGACCTGGGAGACCCTGGCCCTCCCTTATTCAATGTCTTGGGTGACGGAGTTGAAGGCTCTCATTCATACGATAGATCGATTCAAGCCAACTCTCACTGCAAACGAGATTTCTGTGGGGGCGAAGGAACACTGATCTGCCCGAGTTTGTCCCAGTTTACCCAAATTGATCAAGGGTCAAATTTGAGACGGCACTTGGCGTTCATATGTGCCCGGTAGGCCATGAAGAACGTATGTATGCTAATCAAGACGGATAGCTCTGTAGGCCGAACACTCTTGTGTTGTGGTCTCGTGATGAGAAGGAGTTGTGGCAGTTCTATAACTCCAGTGCGGACAGGAAGCGACTGAGGCAATGAAGCAGTACCAATTTATTTATGTCGAACTGATATTTCAACTATTGTCTTAAGAAACAGAATCCAAGTAAGTACAGCGACCTTTCTCTGATTTCATCTCCTTTCTTCTTAACATCGCTCTCCTCGAAGCCGACGTGCGAGTTGGATGTCCTTACTCTGTATAGTAACCCGTTTGGCATGGATCGCGCACAGATTTGTATCTTCAAAAAGAGACACAAGAAAAGCTTCAGCGGACTCTTGCAAGGCACCGATGGCAGAAGACTGAAATCGGACGTCATGCATATAGTCTTGAGCAATTTCTCTGACAAGTCGCTGGAAGGGTAGTTTCCAGATCAGTAAGTCAGCGGATTTCTGGACATGCATTAGCCAAATTCAGCAAACATGAAGTGAATTCATCTGACTTGATAACGTCGTATCTCTCGAAGTGCGACTGTGCCAGGCCTATATCGCCGAGCCCTTTTAACTGGATCTATGTCAATACTCCAGAACTCTGGGTTGTCATAGAAACTTACCACCACCCGTAGTCAGTACAGATTTTCGAGCCGTCAGCAAGGGTTTGCGAGCTGCTTTCGATTTGAGGTCCTTGCGAGGTTGTTTTCCGCCAGTCCAGGGACGATGACGACGATGACGGGCCTGGAAGAGTGAGCAAAGAACACACCCCAGTGACAGGTCTATACTCACAGTCTGTTTTGTGCGAGCCATTCGGTGCTTTATTTGCAAGTAGTGGAATCTATAGGAAGAGGAAAGCGAACTAAAGGACCTGAGATGGTTATTCCGGGTTTTATACTTCAATGGTCCCAAAGCGTGGTGTGTAAATTTTGCAAGCAGGTAGCACACGCTAGCGGGCTGCGGCCCCTTATAACCGAAAAGTAACATTTGGGAAGTGGTCACTTGCGTGGTCAATCGCACGCCCCAGCCACTGTTGAATTTTCTACTCATCGAATCTTGTCACGGCTTTATGCGGCGAAGATGCGACATGCAGTTAGGTAGCCCAGGGGTGAAATGTGGTTGTCGTGAACTGGCCACTTCCAGGCAGGGCGACTCAAACTCGCAATATTTTGTGATCGAAATTGTTCATTGCGGTTCAGTGCTCAAATTTGTCTCACCATGACTCTTCCGTGGAATATTAGTGCTTCGCCAAACTTCTCTCTTCGTACTTCATTCATATTTCACAAGAACGATGCATAGAGGACTTGAGGTTAACAACCCAGGGGACCAAACAGGTTTCACATGGTTTCTATTATTTTTAGACAAGGCTGATTTACGAGAGAGCCCTTAACTAGATGCATCGACTCAGCGGGATCCAATAGCACAAATGCCTCACGAAGAGCTCGAGGGAGTTTTGAGATAGGAGCTCAGAGGACGCCATGTACTGCTCAAGCCTCACTTGGACCCTAGAGGCGACAAACTGGAGGAGTTGCTGGGATGCACGCTGTTGCCTAGAGAATGCGCCGCGTCGTTGTATCTTGGATCGATCCAATCGCATCATCCAAGACCTGTCAGGTAATGTGGTGTCGAGATTTTCATTGACCCAAGGTGGTGCCCAGCTCTTGAGCCTGGCTAACAACAGGCAGTGTTCTGAAGCCCACTTAGTTCTCGAAAAGTGGCCAGGTAGAGTGGACTTGATGCTTAGAGGGCACATGCTCGATAATTATGAAGTGCTTCATCTCCTCTGGATGTAGGCTGGACTCTATTTTCTTGGATGAGGTTGGTTACTTGACCATCCTCCATTATGCAACAGCGACCGCTCAGACTGTGTCCGATATTTCAATTCCCAGTAGGTGAAGCGAGGCCAAGCCAACTCGCTAGAGGTGTTGCCTAGATTTGTAAGATAGAGCAAGAAAAAGAGTGAGGTTGTAGAGGTATGTGTGTATCTGGGGAGCGGAAAATGGAGAAATAAAGCGCATCTCTGTCAAGAACGATTTGACCCTGTATATGAGCAACCAATCAGATGTTGGAATTCATCGCGTTAGATCTTCGTAGCAGGATTGTTGTGAGGAGGACAAGCAAGTAAATTAGACCTCGACTTACGTCTCGACACAAACATTAAGCAATACCGTTGCTGCAATGCACGTGGCCGAAACCAATTTATATGATGTCAACTATGATTTATTCCTGCGATACCAGGCCAGAGGTAGAAAAGCATACACTAAATCCTTCCAAAATTCTCCATTATTCCACGACAACTTACGACTCGTAACCTGATCCAGGACAAGCAGCAACCAGACTGAGGTACGGACTTGAGACATAGACATAGATTTGTATTGTGGATTCCAATGCATATACAGTGGCCTGGCCCACTGTGAGCTTGAGCCGGGTTTTGTAGCGTCGAAAGTCATAGACTATCCCGGCACACCCGGACGCCGACCAGAAAAACCTAGACTTCCATCCTTACACTCGACATAGCCTTGAACGAAATCCATAAGAGTAGGAGATGACTCAACTAGATCTTCTTTCAGACTGCCAAGAGCTTTCCATTCTACAAAGATTATATTCCAGTATGCTCGGGGGATGAAAACGTGCTCCTTGTGTTCCAGACGACGTAGCCAAGGGTTGATCCCGGCCAGCACCATCTCCACAGAAGGCCAGTGCACAAGGACAACACAAGTAGCCATCATGTGATCATCACTGCGATCCGCAATCATTTGTTGGCCATTAAGGTGGTTCAGAAGTATATCTTTGTTGTAGGTGAGCGGCAAAGGACACTTTGCGCATAACTTTAACAGTTCCTGGTCAGCTTCGGACCATAGTCCAGTCAACGACTCATCAAGAAGGATTGGTGTTACAATATTTCTGAGAGACAATCGGAAGGCCATATGAATAGATGACTTCTGTTCTTGACTGACCATCGCTCTCACATCCGATGGCCTATCGTAGCTGAAGAGAGCAGGCGGAGGATTGCATGTTGCCCCAACATCATCATTTAGTAGCTGGCTCGTGGTTCGTTGGACGGCCACTGGACTTGTTTTACCCTCGTACCGTACCTTTTCACTCTTGAAGGTCGATACCTCTTTTGCCTTCTTGCACGTGGCAGGGAGATGGGGGAAGTCTTCTGGCGATCTATGCCGCTTTGCCACTTGACGTCGACCACTCAATACTGAAGGAGATTCTGCATCCAGGTTTTCGTCCTCACTAATTCTATGTTCACCATGACCTTCTGTTTCCGTCCCAGAGCCTGTGCTTGGAGTTGAGGTTGAAGGTACAGATTCTACTCGTCGAAGCGGTGACGATGCAAGGGATGTCTGTTGTTGTCCACCAACATCCTCTTCCGCCATCAAAGCCATGCTCTCTTGAGCTAATCGCTGATAGTCCGTAAAATCAAGAGTATCTTTGAACGTCCGATCTCGATGAATCTTAACGATTCGAGGGAAGCGTAATGTTAAGAACCGTTGGTTCGCCGGCCGGTCGAATCCGGCCCCCACGACTTCGACCACCGCTGGTTCTAAAAACAGCGCAGTTGGTCGACTAGGGGATCCGGATTCAATTTTCACCTCCATTTGGCTGATTGACTTCGTGAAAGGAACTTGATGGGATGCACCATAGCGATTCAGGTATCGAACATCTGCCATCGACAGGCAGGGTCGTGTAACACTCGCCACCAACTGAAAGATCGGTTTAGCCTCTGAATGCAACACTGCCTCCTTGTTGCTCAAGCAGGCCAGGTAGAAAGTAGTCCACCCGATACACTTTTCGCTCTGTGCCCAGATTTCTTTGGTGTCGTAACGGCCGCCCACCACCACTAGATCGGCTGAGTCGCCGAAGCCCGGAATGTAATCTTTCTTCAGCTTGATTTGCTGTACATCCCCGTGAATTGACAGGTACGGAGCTTCGCAGGCTTTGACTACTAAGCCCTCCCAGCCTCGAGATATGGCCGATGTCATTTCATCTCCGAGACGAGTGGCTCCGTCGACGAGTCTCATATCTATTTTCACCCTGTGACCGATGTCAGCTCGACCGAGGATCCGATGGACTGTACCCCAAAGCCTGCGGCGTCGGACATTGTGCGGCTCATGAACACACATATTGTCGTCGAGAATAAGAAGGTCGTAGAACATGATCATCAGATGTTCATCCTCGCAAGGAGGCGAATCCCGATCACAGCCCAGTTGGCGTCCTTCCCGGGAAACATATCGACGGATCTTGTAGAACGGCATGATACGACGCGTGCGGTCGTTCCAAACCAATAACTCCCCAGTAAGGACGCATTGCCGTTTAAATTTGCACCCCGTAGTACCAATGGCTAAACACTTCCGAATCGTGTCATGTAGCCCTTTGCGGTCCATGGTCGAGTCTCGTCCGCTCTTGGAAAAGATGGTGATACGAGAGTTCCCACCAGTCATCTCCACGTGGATCTGACAGTATTCACCATCATACTTTCGCTCAACACTGATCTCTTTGTTGCCGGCAAGTTGACGGCAGTGTTTGAGGCTGCGAGCTTTTTGAAAAGGTTGCAGAGCAATCATCGTGCCTGCACGAGGCTGCATCAGAAGTAATACCTCCTCTCTGAGCTGTTTTGCTACTTCTGGAGTGGGCCAGAGCGGCATCCGCCGGATGATATCACAGTCGAGGAGCTCGAGCGCATCGATCAGGTTGGTGCGGGTTCTGAAGAGGTCCGGCATCAAGAAATGAAACTGTTGGAGAATCACCACTGGTGGGATCTCCGCTGGCCGCAAATCTTTCAATATCAGACGAATGAGCCATTTTGTTTCCATGCTGTGTAGTCGTCTGAAGATGCTCAAAAGCTCATCAATCGGATCTTGGTCGACCTCTCCCATCATTGCTCGAAGCCTAGGAGCAGAGAATGGGCATGTGGCTGCTAGTCGGTCCAGCGTCTGGTCCACATCCATGACAGATAACGAGTGGGTATGTTCCTGGACATCGTCGGTCGCCGCAAAGACTCGTTCAACCGCAGAAGCAAAGTCCATACGCTGACTCTCTTGGAGGCGTCGTATTTCGGAGATGCGTGTATGACCTAAACCGGCGGCCTTCACGATGATTCCTTCCAGTTTTACTTCACGAAGGCCATAGACTCTATCGGGCCTCTTCTCGGGAAACAAGCATGACAGCAGACCCAGAGCACCAACTCCGTGTCGCACAATGGCCGGATTGTGCTGCTGACACCATGAGTCAATGACTCGGTCACGGTCGTCTGACTTCTGTGAGCGCGAAAGCTGCTCAAACAAATCACAAATATGTAGAAAATTTAGAGCCATAGTCCTGGTTGAGGAGGCATCGGTTGAGCAAAGGAAGCCAGAGTCAGACTTGGAAAATCATCCTTGATTATGGTCAAATCTCGATAAGTACGCCTTCCGACTTGGTGAAAGTGGTTTTTATCTATTTCCAAGGCGCTTCATATTGCATACCATACGTATCTCTCAAACAAAAATCGACCACAGCACGCCAACGTGTGTGTGGAGCAGATTCAACCACATAATGACTATCAGTCGCTTTGCCTGACACCTTGTCACACACCATACACAAGGGCTGGTAACGACCATGACCCAATTAGAGTCCGCGACTGACGCTGTGTGATGGTTGCCTCCACAACCTTGCTCAATAAACCCAACAGAAATGCAAGTAGTAAGAACTTGAGACCCGTGGACAGCAGCACACCTGGACGGTGGAACGATAATGACGATGGTGACGAATCCTACATGTTCTACTCTTGCAGATTGGGCCCTTTCTTGTTCCCCCGGTTGGCCTAAACGTTCCTCTTACAGATAACCAGGAAGCCGTTTGGCTAAGGTGAAGAAGGTGTTTGCCTTGTCTCGGGAGCGTACCGTGTGTGAGACGCTAGCGGGTGGAATACAAGCAGACTAGAGTCAAAAGGCTTACGCGCTCGAGATTTCGTATGTAGCAATTGCGGTTTGCTGACAAGCTAGAACCTGCTCTTGATCAATCCGATGCGCCGATCAAGCAACCGTCGTGGCCACCCATCACATTCTCGCTTTTGCTCTCTTCCAAGTTCATCTCCAATTAGTAAAGTCAAGCAGAACATTATAGTTGCAAAACTCCTCAGTAGTCTTGACAGCATAGCCGTAGATTTCGAGTTTAGACAACCACATGATATTAGACCTCAGCTCACAGGCGGTGTGAAAACCATGCTCTCCCACCACCACCGCCCTCATCAAGCATTTCTCTGAAGGCGGTGGATGACAATAAAGAGAATGAGTAGGGTCAGGTAAATTTTCGACCTCAATATCCAGGTGTCGGCGGCGTCCCTCGTGAACATGAGATAATTAAAATGACATAAAGGAAGATTGCGAAGTTCAGGATCAAATTTCTGAGAAGGCGATGGCCGGATAAGACAGAGTCACCAGAAACATCCATCTTAAGTATGATTTGAGGCCAGAAGTGATGTACTCCCAGGGGTTCAGAGAGGAGTGTGAATTAAAATGAGAGTCAGAAGAGGGATGACTACCGTCGAATGATGGTAGGGTTGTCGAAGCAAGTTCCTTGCTCGCCCATCCTGTTCCCAGCGGCGAAATATCTAGTAAAGAACCGGCGGGCTGAGTCCAACCCTGGCAGAAGTGAGTCGAGGAGCATCAACGACAAAGGTAGCGTGAACTCTGTAGGCCCCATCCCTGCCATGTGCCCCTAGTGGATGCTCAGGATTGTCATACACTCCTTGTTCCACCAAGAGACGGCTCTTGCCATACAAGGCACTCAAAGAAGGACCGCGAAGTGATTCACCGGTTACAACGTGCGCGGGTCCGAAGTATCCTTGCTTCTCTATCGCCAGATGCTACAGGCCATGCATGGTGACCAGGCAAGAGACAAGAGAGGACACTAAGAGCCACGCGTGACCTACAACCGGAGGGTTCTCGCATGGAAAGGGTTCATGCAAGACAAATGGTAACCATCCTGTACCACACAGGAGGGTTCCTGGAGCATTTCCATAAGCCCACCACGGCTTTGCCGACTTGGCCATTGGTCCTATTGTACCGGTAGAAAGCATATCACACTAACGATATGGTTACTCCGATCGTAAGGGATGTGTCACCAAGTTCCCCTGCGCGGATTGTGGTGGGCATGGGGGAGAACGATCTGGAGAGGGCCAAAGTTGATCCACCAGCCTTCATCCACCAGCACCCATTGAGTGCCTCTCAACAGGGATCGATGTGAAGCAAAGAGATTCCTTCGAGGGTCGAATTGTCCAGCTGAACAAGCCTGGCATGTGCAGCACACTGCCCGTGTCCAGAATACGGCGTAGGCGACGGCATCCGTCGGGCACGGATCGAGGATCCAAAGACAGGCGTATTTTCAGATGAGAAATCACTCCTTTCTACCCTTTTCAAGAGAGTGGTTTATCTGAGTTTAGAACAAAAAAAAAGAAAAGCGGATGCAATTGATTGGCACAGGACATCAACTTCACCGCACAATATGAGTTCCTCTCATGAGGCACACGAGCAGGAAGAGCCTCTCATCGTCTTTTGATCAATTAACAGAATAGAATAGCTTAGCCAATTTTTTCCACCATGCCTGGTGTTGGTCCACACAGCGACCTGACAATGGCATAGGACACGGTCACCTGTTCGAGAAATTTAGTGGCGACAACACCGATTTCTCCTGCCAAAGCTTCAAGTGTCAAGTGTTCCAAACGACTTCTTCCTAATCGCCAAGCCGAGATATAGAACCAAAAGAATCGCTTCGCAGTCGGTATAGATCCAGCAGCAACTAACCAAGCCTTCAATACGAGGTGTCGTGAAAGGTCGAGTGGCGACATGTGTCTTGCTTTCGCAGCCCTCGTTGCAGGAAAAGTCCTCATGCATAAGGCGTCCGAACAGCGAATCTTCCGGTAGCGTGGCTCCAGTTCGATTTCCAATAGAAGTAGACATAGGCCAAAGAGCATACTCATTCGAGTGATAAACCATATCCATCGTGTCCTTGGCATCCGCCTGGCCACCGAATGATCTTGAGCAAGCCGGCCTTTCTGGCCCTTTGGCCGGTCTGGCTGGATAACGATGTGAGCCCAAGTGCCGTTGCAGAGGGGAAGTTCTCGTTTCACCAAGGTGGGTATGAGGAACGAGAGTATTTCATGCTCAACCGGCCTTCTTAGACGGTGAACAACTGTGATGAAGGCGGCACGTGATGGGATTATCGGCACCCGTTGCACAGGCCAATGGATGCCTTGCGTTGGGCGACGCGGCTTGGCAAGAGCGAGGTGAGCCAGGGTGGGGGGCTGGTGGGTGAGTCATGGGCGCGCCAGGGTGAGCCAGAGGGTGAGCCAGAGTGTGACAAGGGTGTGACAGGGTGAGCAGAGGGTGAGTTAGAGCGGCGAGCTCACCCGCTAGTTCGGGAAAGGAAATCGGACTTCCAAGAATCTGGGACGTATATTCTAAGTTATAAGATAATCTAAGTAAGAGATATAAGACTTACTTAAGTACTTTAAGATAAAACTATACGTACTATAGTCTACTCTATAAAGCTATCTTTACTACCTAAGTCTAGATAGAAGAAGAACTAGAACTAGTCTTCTAACGAGAAGTAGAATTTTAAAGATAGTAAGGATTAAGAAAATATAGTTAAGAGTACTATAAAGAATATAATAAGCTAGGAGTAGTTAATAAAATTTTAAACTCTTTAGTATAAGTACTATAGATATAGTATGAGACCTCTAACTAGAAGTTAATAATATTAACTTTAAGTCTAGTATAAAATTTTAACTTTACTAGTAAGTATTGGAAAGGCCTATTACTATTCAACTAGTAAGGCTGTAAAACCTTATCTAGAGAGTCCTCCTAGACTCTAATAGAGCCTTATCACGTGATAAGGCTATACTCTAGGCTAGTTGACGTCACTAGGTACTTAGGATCTAATCCTAATCCAGTCAAGAAGGCCTAACTACAATAGTCGACGCAAACCGTTAGTTCTCTACTATTCTAACAGTTTCTACTAATTAGAAATCACTAAGGGATTTACCTAGTGATTTATAATCATTAGAATAGATTAGAAGGTTATAGAACTTTTAACCTATCTATATATACTAGCTATAGTTACTCACTTAGATAGAAATCTCTAAGTCTTCAATTTATTCTATAGTAAAGGATAACGTTTCTACCCTCTCTACTCGATTTACTAGGCCTAAATAGGCCTAGCCCTATATTCTACTGGAGCCACTACAACCTAGTTTCTAATACCTATTATTATAATAGAATACCTTAACTAGTACTTTTTACTCTAAACATTTAATTTATTTAGGTCTTAAACCCTAGACTTACACTTTTCTAACTCGATTTTAAAACTCTATAGGGTTTTTAATTTTTTTCTTACTCGACTTTATCGGGTTTTAGGTCGGGTTTTGGGTATTATCTATTAGGTGATACCTAACTGGTTATATAGTCTAACTAAGGCTACTTAACTCGTTGTGTAGTCTAGTTACGTGTAGAGGTAGTTCTTAGTATAGCTAGAGACCTTTATAAGTTTACCTTATTATATTTAATTAGTATTATAATTTAGCGGTTATAGTAATTTCTTGACTTATCGTAAATATACTATTTCCCAAGTGCGTGTCGTGGAGAAAAGGCCTCCGTTTCGCGAGGCCCGCGTCGCCGTTTTTGCGAGGCCCCTTCACCGTTTTCGCCCCCACGCCGACCGCATTCAGCACCTCCCCTCGCCGCTTTTGCACCGTCCCTGTTGGCTGGCCCCTCGTTCTTTCAAAGGTCTTCCCTGCCACTTCCCTGCGCGACCGCCTGACCCTCCCCCTCCACCCTTTCCTGTCACCTTCCTTTCCACTCCTGCGGTCGTGTCGACTAGAAGAAACACCAACGTCGGTCGAACGCCTCTGTCGCCCACGGTGCGTGCTCCCTCTCATACCTGCTTTCCTCGACCTGGACAGCGACGGTTCCTCGGGCGTCGGGTGTCTCACCCACCGACGCCATCATGCCTCACGCGGTGGGGACCGCCAGACGGTCGTGGTCAGCAT